ATGAAATTTGATGATGATGAGACAACAGAGAAACTTCAGAATAAAGAAAAGCAGAGTTAACATTTATCTGTAGAATCTGTTCATTTCAACTCTTCAAATTCTTCACTATCTTTCACTTCTGAAATGCTGACTTTTAATGATGATCTGAATCAATCTATCTATTACACTGCAGACAATCTTATGAATCTTATGCAGATAATGCTATGAAATCAGATAACTGCAGCTGAAACAACTCAACATCTCACTACATCTGTATAAAGAGACACTATGAGAGATGAGTTGCAGAAATATCAGAAGAAAGTCAAATATACACTAGATATCAAATCAGTGATCACATTTGATAACTCTAATTATAAAGCCTGATATATTGATATATTAACTGATACAGAAGTTATTAGTGAAATCAACATTCTATTGAGAACTCAATGAGAATTCTCTTTTACACATTATATTAACTCTGAGAAGTGAGGAATTCATTTCAAGTCTCTATATAGATATATGCTATTGAGTCTTGTTGAAAACATTCAAATCACTATTAAAACCTTGAAAGCTGACAATGCTGCAGCTCTGTGAGACAAGATCAACATTGAATATGTAATATCACTGATAGAAGAATGAGTTAATGTCTTCAAGAAATTGATAAAATTATAAGTCAAGAAGAATGATTATCTTACTTTTCAAAGACATTTTCACTATCTTGTTATCTGTCACAAAGAGCTCTGTCAGAGCACTAAGAATATATATCATGATCTTTTTCTCAACAATCTACAAGATTATCAAAGATCATTTGTCAAGACATATTTAAATAAGTTTTTCTCCACTGATCAGAGACTCATTGTCAACATTGATATTGATAATTTGATGAAGCAACTGATCAATCATACATTTAAGAAGATCATCACTGAGTGAAAAAAGCAGCCTCAGACTGATTCTGTGACTGTGAAGAAGAATAAGAATAAAGATAAGAATAAAGATAAGAACAAAAGCACATCTGTATAAAAGTGCACTCACTGCAGAAGATATGAATATACTGTTGACAGGTGTTTCATCTTACACTCTGATAAAAAGAAAAAGAAGGATGATAAGAAGAATGACAAGAAGAAAGAGAAGAAGAATGACTTGATAAGTTCTCAATCAGCAGCAAATGCAGCAATTACAAAGATTGAGTTCTATTTCTCTTTCACAGTCACTGAAAAATCATTCTCTAGATCTTGATATTTGAACACATATGCAAGCCTGAATATGACAGGTGAGCTTCATTCTTTTTTAAATATCAAACCTTTTAATAATAATATCTCTGTCAATTCTGCAACTGAGGAAACTGAGTTTGTTAAGAAGATTAAAACTGTCATCTTGAAGATTGAGAATGATGATGTTAACTTACAGAATGTTCACTATATTTCTAATATTACAGTTAATCTGCTCTCATTTACAAAGCTTGAAGATCAGAGATTTCAATTTACATTATCTTTCACTATTCCCTCATTTTTCATTTGCAGAGCTCTGAACAGTGTTATTTTTCATACAGTTCAGACTGCTCAGAACAACATATATAAGATTGATAAGCAGAAGTTCAATAAGGATTTCAATCATCTGAACAGAGCAGTCAAGTACATTGCAATGATGTCTCACAAGTACAATTTTAATTAAAAAGTTGATCTTTCTGTGACTGCTGCTACTACTGTTAATAATGTTGATTCTGTGAATGTGAAAACACAGATATCAAAGATATCAAAGACTCTTTTGAATTGATATTACAATCTCAGTCATATTCATACTGATGCTATAATTACTATGGCCAAGAATCCTCATACTGAAGTTACAATTAAAGATTCTAAGACTAAGTTCTTTTATAAGAAATATGTCAAGACTGATATAATATGAGATTATTCAAAAACACTGATGTCTAGATCTATTCAACTCATTGAGAAGGTTCATATTAATCTTGCAGATGACAGACATACATTGAAAGATCTCTCTGATCATCTCTTAGAGTTTCATCAGGGAATAAAATACTGAATGCTTATCATCTGTGATGCGACTCACTACTGTTGAGTGTATTTTTTAAAGTTCAAGAATGAGGCTGTTCAATACTTTGAGTTATGGCTCAGATTCATGAGTAATCTCAGATATACAGCCTCTGCTTTTCTATGAACTGATATTGATGATGTTTTCTGATCCACATGTATGCACACAGTTATGAATTCATATGATATGAAATGAGAATCAACAGTATCATATTCATCACATTAGAATGACATTTCTGAACATGAGATCTGTACTATTATGAGACAGATTAGAGCTGCTCTTTTGAAAGATAATCTTTCTTAGAAGTTCTGAGCAGATGTTCTAGAGACAGTGATTACAATAATCAATAATACTCTCATATCTATAGTTCTTTACAACTCAAAATTTTGATCCTCTACTGCAGAGATCTCTGTGATTTCAAGTTCATATAAGATTTCTTGATGTGCACTTATGAATACCCTGCTGAATGTAAGACATTTTCATCAATTGAGTGCAGAGATTTTTATTCACTTGCATGAATCTCAGCAGCCTGCGGATAAGCTTTCTTCATATGCTAATTTCTATCATATCATTGAATTCAGTGACATATTGATAAATTGCCTATGACATTCTGAATCTGATAAGATTATTATCAGTAGTGATGTGAGGTTTCTGATCACTGAAAAACCAGTTGTCACATCTGTGACACTCATTAATAATGCTGATGAACTGAAACTGAAACTGGAACCTGATATTTATCTGATTGATGATGAAGATGCTTTCAATATTGATGATCTGAATTTCACATGATTGCAGCCCGCGAAATCGCTGGCTACTTACACTTCAAGTCTCATTACAGATAACCTTCTGAAGTTCTACAAGAATGTCACATCTCAGTTAGAAGAGATAGAAGATTATTAAAAGAAGTTCATACAATGCAAGATTACTGACCTGAAGAGATATAATACATGAAGTTTGATCTCTAGATCTGATGTCTCAAGAGATGAATCAATTGCTTCAGACTGTTAAGTGTTTCTTGAGAAAGATAGGCCTGCAGACCTGAATACTGATTCTGATAATATTCTTAAAAAATCACATTGAGTGATTTATGATAACTGACTTAAGAAGAATTCTAGAGAAGAGATCTACACTTCAGTTATCACTGATACTGTTAATTATATTCTTTTTGCAATAGCAGCACTACATGATTGAACACTCTGTCAGATAAATATAGTGATAATATATCTTTATAAGTGTCTCACTAAGAAGGTCTATATGAGACAACTCACTGAATTTGAGACAGGTTTGCTGAAAATACTTGTCTATGTGATTGAGAATAGTCTATACAGTCTGAACTCTGCAATGAAAATCTGATATGATTACTTAACAGCTCTGTTAAGTGATCTTGAATTTACAGTCAGCACTTATAATTCAGTACTCTGATATTATACATTCAGATATCATCTCTATATAATAATCTATATTGATGATCTCAACATCATATCTGAAGCTTCTGAGAATGCTGATTAACTAGTGAGTATACTTAGTAAGAAATTGAAAGTCAAGAATCTACATCAGCTAATCAAGTATTTAAGTATGAAGATCAATTATTCAAATAAGAGAATTGATTTAATATATTATCAATATATTAAATATCTTATTAAAGATTTCTATCTTGATGATGCAGCTGTTATCAGAATATTAATAAAGAATGAATTTTATATTGATGATTCTTCTATATCTGAGAAAGAGACTGATTTCACAATTCAGTGATATTAACATGATATGAATTGCTTATAATATCTCACAGTTAAAACACATTCTGATATCACTTACACTGTCTCACTACTCACTCAACAGAATGTTGATTCAACATCTCAATATTGAAAGACTCTATTACACATTATATATTATTTGAAAGAGATTATAAATCTGGGCATTTTCTACAGATGCAGTCTGTATGAGAGATCTGTTTCTTTCATTTCTTTCATTTCTATTATTTCTACTGTTTTTACTGATCTCTCTGTTATTCCTGATTTCCCTGATGATTTCTACCTACTCTTCAGCTACTCAGATTCTGATTGAGCCGGCCTCTTAAATGATGATAGGAAATTAACATCTGACTACATTTTTAAGCTCACAGACAGTCTGATTTCATAGTGTTCAGTGAAGCAATCTTATATATCTCTAAGTTTTAATGAGACTGAATATATAGCTCTTAGTGAGATGGTCTGCAAAGCAACATGAATTCAGAATCTCATAATTAAGCTCAGCTTTATTACTACATCTCTGATACAGATTCTCACTGATAATAAGAATATCATAGATCTTACAAAGATGACAGTCATTACAGTCTGAAGTAAGCATATTGACACACATTTTCATTTTTTATATTGACAGTTGAATCAGAGAATCATTGATTCAGAATATATTTTCACTGCTCAGATAGCAGTGAATGAACTTACTAAATCTCTAGACAATATGATATTTACATGATTCATGATTTTACTAGGTCTTACAGGCACAAAAGTTGGGAATGTTTAATTTTACATTTGTATTTGGTTTTGACAGACTATCTTGGTGGTTTGGGTGTTTTTGTATGTGATTCTTGTTATCTCAAGGGGGGGTGTTGGCCCTTACAGCTGTTGCGGTTAGCGATCCCACTAGATCACGTGACCCACCACTATATTATGTTCCTGTAGATAGATCTATCAATACAACCTTCAACTATCCTACAGGCACAACCTTCTGATTGCCTTCATGGACTGCCGCTGTCCTCAATTGGTCACGATTTGCACCCTCCACCCAAGAATGCACATCAACGTTACTTCCTGGAACTGAGTCGTGCACTCTGCTGAGCTTCCCTGTCGCTCTCTACCAGCCACGGAGTCATCATTCCATGGATCTTTAAGGTTTCATCAATTCCCGGAGTTTTCCTGGCGGTTGCAGCGCAATAACACGCCCGCAGGATCTGCGCATCGACAAAGCCGAAAATGCTAGAATCCCCGTCTTCACAGCACAGTCAGCCCCGGCTCCACTCTTGGCCCTGCAAGGACACCCTTGCGGGCCGAGAAACTTCAGGCAACTCACGTCCCGGCAGCCATATGGCCAGCCAGGGATCCGAGGAAGATCCAGATTTCAATCCAGCTGGTTTGACTGAGAGGGTCACTTAAAAAACTTTATTTTCTTCGAGTTGGATCAAATGCCAATAATGGGTTGATTCCGACTATCACTTTTTAACTGCCGCGCCAGACACGCTATTTTGAGAGCCTTATGCGCAGCCTTCTCAAGGGAGGGGTAACCTCTGGGCTTCGTTCGAGCTCTCCAGTTCCGGACTCTGGCCATGCACCGGGTCTGTATTTCCGCCGCTAAACCTGCAACTGTTCAAGACAATTTCCGCGCACTACTCGAACCCGCCCGCCACGACCTCGAGCGCTATGTAAGTCGACGTGGCCACGGTGGTCTCCTCTATCTAACCCATGCCGCTATCAAAAAAATAAATCAGACTCAAAAGCTAATGCCGCGTTAGCAAACAATCACAGCATATCAACCCAGCGTATTGAAATCCTCATGTTGCGGAACCGGGAAAATGACTTCCCCAGAGATTGCACTTCAACTACTGCGCTCGATGTTTTACTCCGATTAGCTGCTCTCTTCTAATGGGGGCCTCTAATGCGGCGGGATGGAGCAGTATCAGCGAAGCTCCAAACAGCAACATACGAATAAGGCTTGGAAGGTCGCAACTCGAGAAACTCAAGCTATACTAGGACCTCCTCCTGCCAGGCTACTATCCCTATTCCCTTCCCTCCCCTTACCAGCTCCTATTGCCTCCGTTTTCCATTTCGGCAGTCCGAACATTTAAAAGTCACCTCCCCCTCCCGGCATTCTGTAATCGTTCGCCATCTTCCGTCATTCACAGGCTAAGACACCACTGCAATATCAGCGGCAAAGCTTCTCAAATCACCTCATCCACACTTTAGAACAACCTCTTACCCTGTCCAACCAACTGCCACGAGCCTTCGCTGCCCCCTCCCTTTCTAATCCTCACTCAGCTACCCTACCTTTCGATCAAATTTGGACCTATTGGCTCGACACGGCTGCACCACCAGTTTTACGAAGTAATTGTCTGGAGTTGTGTTATCAACGCGGTAGCAGGCAATATGGCTTTCCTAGCGCAGCAATGGTATAATATTGTGAATAGCTATTCCCCATTTACCATCGAAGTGTTTGGTGCCGCTATGGCCCAATTGTCTCTTACCGTCCTCTTCGGTATCTACGACCTGAACGGCTCTGATCCCAAAAGACGTCGTGCGATGCTCAAGGTTCTTCCCGGTATAGGAAGGAACATTGCCACAGCGACCGTGGTCCATTCCACCGGTCTGCTTTTGATGTCTCTTTGGACAGGCAATTGCCTTTGGGAAACCTCCTTGACCCATGTGAACAAAAACATCCCTTCCGTCTGGCGATTCCTGATAGATGTGCTAAACACGGCGCTTTTGTTTGAAGTCTCATTCTACTACTTCCATGCCCTGTTCCACACGAAATTCATGTACCGACACGTTCACTCCGTACACCACCACTTCAAGGAGGAAATTGCCATTGCTGCTTTCTATAGCCACCCCCTCGAGTTCTTAGTATTGAACTTCGGACTAGTAGTGATCGCAACCTGGCTGCTCGGGTCGCATGTGCTTGGTTTGCTCTTTCATGGAGCTGTCGCAGGCACTATCGCACATTTCGTTCATACGGGTGAAGATATCCCAGGTCTTATGAGCCACGAAGGCCATCACGTCAGTCCAAACCAGAACTTGGGTGCCATTGGTGTCCTAGATCGGCTGCATGGGACGCTCTACCGAGGAACCCAGCTTAAGCGCTCGCACTAACCTCGCTCAATCATCTCATTTACGACTAGACTATGCAAGGATGGGAAGCGAATGAGTTTTGAGAGAAATGATATTGGAATTGCTTGGGCGAAGATGTCTCATGTCCATCTTGACGTATAGGGGGGTATTTCGTAACGGCCGTTCCTTTCACGCTGCTTTTTCTGGATGTCACAAACGTACCGATTTGAACCTTGTTTTCTTTATTCCTTCTTGTATGAGCGGTGTTTATGATTTTATGATTTCTGTTGAAAATCCTCTTATGAGTACCGAATCATTTTTTGACGCTTGGCATGAAATTATGAGCTCTGTGGGGACTAGGTGCGTGGTCTTAAGACTATTATGGTTTAGCCCTTACTTTCCCGATTCTGATTGATTGCATCGGTCTAATTAGTATAAAAATACATCTTTTGCTATTGATCACTCTCATCCGGTTGAAACCGAAAAAATAGTTCCAAACCCACCCCCTCTCTCCCTCCTCAGAAAGAAAAAAGAAAAACATCCAATTGATGTCGTCAATGCATGTAAGACGTTGCTAAATTGTATCTGCGCCATCAGAGCAACTGGCGGAATCCAACTAAGTTAGAGAACCCAGTCCGAAAACAGTCCCTTTTGTTGAATCAACCCAGAAACCAAGAACGCCTCAGATTCGTTAAATCTATCTCATGCATGCAAACCAATGTGAGAAACTATCAGACCCACCCGAGGCCATGGCATCTTGTCTCCACCGAATCTGCATCGGAAATTTTAAGATGTTCCCCGCAGACGGCTACGCATGAGTCCTGTCCCATGGGCTGACCTCTGGATTTCCATTGGTAACCTCCCCAGCCCTCTGCCCTCCAGCTAATGCATGCAGCTGCAGTTCAAAACTGGAATCCGTCGGTATCGCTTCCTTACTCCTGCTTTATGGTCATGCATGGGCGAACTTACCCTAAGTCCATGATGGTTCCTGTTGGAATAATCTCAAGTCATCCCACGACTTCGTTTGAGCCGTGTGATCCGTAAAACGCTCCGAGTAACTAAGGGAGGGAACGGGGTGCGGGAGGCTGTCCCGGGATCTATTTGCTTAACATCCGTGATCATCAGTATTAGAAAAAGAGATGAGAAATCTGATGAAGACTACTTACAGCACTTCATGAAATTATGACATGAATTAAGATCTGTGAAAACAGAGCTCTGAAATAAGACCCTAATAATGATATTTATAAAGAGACTAAATAAAAATATACAGAATAAGCTCATTGAACAAGACTTTAAGCTCTTAACTTTGAAGAAATTAATGACTTTCATTCATCACTTATAGATCACTGTGAGAATCACAGACTTACAGAGAGTGAATCACTGATCAGCTCTGTATAAGTCAAAATAACAGAAAACAAATTTACTGTAAAAAGATGATAAAATATAGAGAGATTTATAAATTATATCTGACTACTGAGCAGAGAGAAAGAGCTTCACAAGCTTCTATAAATAAAATATATAATAAAGAAATCAAGAAAAAGAGTCTTTGTTTCATTTATTTCAAATTAGAATATCTTTATATAAACTTTTCTGATAAACTGAAATAAAAATTTTGAAAAGTTATAGACAGAGTCAGTAACTATCTTCTTAAAAGTCTTAAAACTGATATCTGAATCTGCTACTCTCTTAATGAAAATACATATTTATAGAAAGAAATTATATCACAGTACTACTATTTTACAAGTATAAAAAGTATTAATAAACTCAGAATCTCAGATCACTATAGTATCTGTAAAACTTATAAAGTGAATAAGGTAAGTGTAAGAAGTCTACACTGAATAGATAAGTATAATATATAGATCTTATATAACAAAGTGAAAAACATTAGAAAAGAAAAGAAAAAGAAAGTGCAGAAATTGATAATCAGAGTAAATATTTATTCACATACATAATAAAGTGTTGAGATGAAAGAATAGAAATTTGATGAGTTTTTAACTGAGAATTGATAACTGAGAATCAGAGTCTTAATAGAAATCTGTGAAGTGTAATGAAATAGTCTATATAATTAATCAGATACAGTCTGTTATATTAGCTGTCTTCTTCTCTAATCATGTGTAGTTCTCATTGATCAAGAGCCGCGGTCTTAGATAATACAGAACTTGAAGTTCAGATCTGATAATTATAGCTTACTTATTTTATAAGATATTATCAGCTGCAGCTGTGAGATCTCTTATTAAGAATATTCTCAATCTCTTACTTAAGTTCATTATCTTCTTCTATAATCTCTGATAACTGTCAGTTAAAAGTTAATTAAGAAGAGAATGAGTCAGTGACAGTATGATGAAGCAAGATTGTATGAAACACATTATAAATCTCTGATAAAGTATTAAGACAGTAGTTATAGCTGTCTAGAACTTCTATCACTGTGTATGTTATATAATAATAATTCAATATACAGAATAAATGTATAATCTGTATATTTCTAAGATTTAATTATATAAGATCTTTCTATCTTATACTGCTCTGTGAGATCTTGTTAATATTAACTTAATCTTCTTAATCTTATTTAGTACTTATCATGAAGATCTCTGCTCAGTATAGATCTTTTAAAGCTTTATCACTATATATCAGTGATCTGAATTGAACTGTGAGAGTTCAGTGTGAACTGTATAATCTCTAGAAGATTTAACACTTTCATAGAATAACTATATATAAGAAAGAACAGGCTTACACCTGTTGAGACAGTATATTGACAGTTGATAGTGATCTCTGCAAGTAGAAGAAGATCATATCTGTCACGCCCCTGGCCGCGTCAAGGCCCCGCTGCGGTTCCACACGGCTCATCACTTTCATGCGCATGATTTCATTCACCTCGCAGGCTGTTCAAACCGGTTTCCAACCACTCTATGACATCATTCAGATATATCATAGAAAGATCTTATTAATGAATACAAGAACCTCACTTCTATATAAGATCAGCAGATTACTCTTTCTTAACAGTGAGATGCTGCTGAGGTATTACTTCAGCTATTCTCACTTATGAAATGAAAGAAGAGTATCTGCTCATTATCTATATAGAATAACTAGATGCTGACTTCTTATTAAAGAAGTCAGTGATTTGTTTTTTTTCTACTGAAATATATATAAGAATTACTGTGTTTCTTATACAATCTTCTTAGTATACTAAGTATTATATCTGTGATATTCTTACAATAACTCTGTAGTCTATAAACTCACTATTCAAGTAAGATAGTCAAGCTCACTTATACAGCTTCTTAAATAACTATTTTTATATAATACTGCTGACTAGCTACTGCTTCAGTTCTATTACATTATAATTAGAATTACTTAATCTGATTATAAGTTTGAATCAGTTGAGCTCTAATAAACTGATATAACCTTATGCATCTATACTGAGACTGACTTAACTTCATTCTCTGAGAAAATCTCTATATTATTTTCTAGAGTATGTATATCTCTACTCTGACAGAAATCTGAGATTTCTGAACTTATTATATACTTTAATATAAGTTCTTCAACTGTTCTATCACTGCTGCAGTCTCTACACATCTATATCTATTATAAAGATAGAGAGATTAAGATTAGAGATTCTCTGAGATATAAGAAAAACATATTATCTGAATTTCACAGCTTTATCTATACTCTTAAACAGAAATTCCATCTTAATCTAAGTCAGTATAATACTCATGAGATATAAGTAATATATACTGTTAACCTTCTTAAAGACATCTCTGTGACTACTTGAGCTATTAAGAAGAGAGAGCTTAAGTATACTGATACTGTAATAACTTAAGAAGAATTCAAGAACTTTCTACTGAATTAAATTAAAGATTACTGTAATCACAGCTTTATAGTAATACAGTGATTCAACTTATTATATTAATAAAATAATGAGAATTTTTCTGATTTCAATGTAAGATTTGAAGAATATTAAGAGAAATTAACTGATAATTTGAATTAATTAAAAACACAGCTTTATCTTACAAAGCTGACTTATAAGATGTGAATAATAATATTATAATATCAGAGTTTATTAATTAATTATACTGAGCTTATCAATCTGACTTTCTGAATCTATTTGAATAATCAATTCTCTGAGAAAAAGATTAATAAGATCTCTTCTAAGTAATTAATAATAAGATCTAAATAACACTATAACAGCTTCAGTGTAGAGAAAGTAAAGAAGAATTTTAAGTATTCTGATTCTTTACTCACTGTAAAGAAATATTAAAAAAGATTTAATAAAGATCTCTATTTCAACTGCAGAGCTGATAATTACTATATCAGTAATTATAAGAAGCTGAAGAAGAAAAGAAATTAAGAAGATATCTTCTTAAGATTAACTTCTCTTCTAACAAATGTATTCAGAGAAGATAAAGAAGAGAAAGAAATAAAGAATTAATAATTCTTATATCTCTGAGTTTATATTATGATTATAATGAATACTCTGAATAAGAAGATATCAGTGAGATATCTACTTAACTCTGAGATAAATATTAACTTCATATTCTATTTCTTTTCTTTAATAAAGAGTTGAAAGAAGATAGATCTGTCAGATTATATGAAATTTATTAATGAAATAAAGTATCACTGTTTTAACATAATTCAAGTGAAGTGTGTAATCACAGACTTAGAAGAAATCTTTAAGAAGAGTAGTCTGCTTTTTTACACTGTTAATATTTTAGATAAGAACATTATTCTAGATCTTCTATAATTGAGAGAAAACAATTCTCTCATTGACTGAGTTACTCAGATATGATAATACTGTCTTACTAATGAAGAGACAGTGATAGAGAAATCTGAAGAGTTTTATTGAAAGAATCTTGAGAAAAAGATAGAGTTAATATACTGCATAGCAGGTGATTGAAACTTGAGAATAGATGAAGAAGTTATCATTCATACTATAAGATTAGCAGCAGTATCTGTCATTGAAGATGAATATATACAATGTCTCTTTACAGATTATAAGAATATCTTTTTAAAAACAGAAAGCAGTGAAGTTTCCTGATATCAAGATATGA